GATAAGTTACCTGTCAAATACACATGAGAGAGTAAAAATGTTACTTTTCAAAAATTTATCGGAGAGTAAAATTGTTAGCTTTTAACAAATATAAAGGATCAAAATTATTCAATGCATACGGTACTATTTGAATTGAACCTACTCGCAAATATAAGAAACCAGTTTTTCTCTTTACTAAAAATGGTTTTACCTATTGAAAATGACTTAAGTTTGTCTTCGTTCCATCTATTGGATCCTAAATACTCTTAATATAAATTTTCGGATTAAAAATATCCCTCCTTCCACCTATTGCAACCCCTCCCCTTCCATGCACACATTTAATTTATGAGCAACTTTAGCATTTATCAATAACGCGCATTTAGGTGAAAACAATAAATGCTTACAACTAAATAGATTTGATCATTTTATAAGCTTACTCAACACTCTCTGATCGTACTTACATCATTGAAGACCATAAAGCCAAGGTCAAGATCGACACCATTGATGTTAATGGTCTTAGCATGGCCACCCTGATAGCATTCCTTCTCATAAACCACAACTTTGACTCCAGATTTTGCCAATTCATATGCAGAAAGCAGTCCACTTATATTTGCCCCTACCACTGCTACTTTCATGTTTAAAACATATATAGGCTTCAAAGATACAAACTGCAAAAACAATTACTTAGGAATATATGAAGATTTAAAATGAGAGATGTTAAAACTATATCATTAGTTACACATTCACTCAGAGTTTGATGAAACATTGGTGTATTGAGGCATAAATTTATAATGGATGACAAATTAAACATACAAAATTAATATGTGATAAAATACTTGCACTAGCTAAGTGTCACCTATCTATATCACTTGGTCCTAGTTTATAATTAAAAGAAATAATATATAAACATGACCCTTAACTTAACTTTAGCTGACAACTATGACCTTTAACTTTGAGTGTGCATAAATAGACACTTAAACTTGTATAAAATTGAACAAATAGATACATTCGTCTGACATGGCAATCTTGTGTCCTACGTGGCGTCCTACATGTATTATGTCATGTAGGACACGTGTGTCTACTTGTTTAATTTTATACAAGTTTAAGTGTTTACTTGTGCACACCCAAAGCTAGAGGGAATAGATGTCAGCTGAATCCAAGTTAAACGAAATATTTATGTATTATGCCTAAATAAAATGAGTCCATATTTTCAAATCTTACCCAATTTAGAAAGACTCAATTCAATTTAATTGTGGCCATTAATGTCGTAATGCATATGTAATTTACAAAAAATAAATTGTCATATTAATTAATGCAGAACAATGACTAGTGTTACTTCTTACTAAGTGTGATTAAACCACTCATTTAATCTAATTAATCTTCAATCTCAAATTAAACACGTCTTCAAGATATATAGTGACTTATCAAAGAGATCAATTTCCCAACGGAAAACAGTTTCCTCTAATTTGTGGAAAATACTTCTTTTGGCAAAAGCTAGATAATTTGTCATGTTATATTTTCTTGAAAATAACTTGTATTGAATTATTGTAACTTAGAGTAACATAATTAGTAATTACGGCTGAAGATATAATTAAATAAATAAAAATATGTCCACTCCAACTTCCAACTGCTTAAGTTTGGTGACTAGCTATTTGAACTATTATTAAGCTTAAAACGTTTTTATTTTAACTATCTTGATTATCATATAAAATTACTCAAACACCGTCTAACCGTGCTTACCCGACTGAAGACCATAAAACCAAGGTCAAGATCAATGTTGTCCACGGTAAGGGTCTTAGCATGACCACCGAGATAATTTTCCCTTTTCGATATTACTGGAGTAGTTTTAATGTTACATGAAAACAATATTAATGGTGTCGATGATCAAATTTATAATGGTGACAAATGTATTAAATTTATAGGATTGATTTCACATATGATTGCTCAACTAATAATAATTATGTCAGAAATCAACTCTAAATTTGTATGGATATTGAAGAAAGGAAATTTAGGCCTTGTTTTCTTCTTCTCTTTAGTTTGCTTCCTCAAATATGAATATTGAAATATTTGTAGATAGCGTCATGCTGAAATGACAAAAGAAACACACCTAACTTTAGAAATAATTGAGTATCTTAGTACGGCATTTTGCATCATACTAATTTTTGGGAACGTGCGTTACACGTTTGTCCCTTGTAATTATTACAAGATTTCTAAGAATTTAAAAAACTGAATTTCAGAATAGAAAATATACGTGTATTTCATACTACTTAGTATAAATATTTATAAATGATTCAAATACAATTATAATATGTATCTAATGAATTGTCTAAAAGTAGAAGAGGGGAAAAGCAAGTGCATGGTAATTAGTTGTGATAGAGATACTTCCTCCGTCCCAATATATATGTTTGTCATGTCAAACTTTCCTAAAGTAGATTTGACTAATTTTTTAAGGTAAATTAGATTATATTAGACTAAGAAATTCTAATTAATAGGTAGTATTAGTTTATGAAATAGATTGTTGTACGCCCGTTTTTTTCTTTATTTTCTAAAGAAATTTCTTAAAATAGGTATTCATAAAATTAAGAATTCAAAAGAGGAGTGTAACACCAAATTAAAGCTTAACATCAAATGGATAATCTGACAATCATATCAAATAGTTTTAAGATATTGTGTCATGTTGATACTTAGATTTCACATGAGTTATTAGTTGTGAAGATGTCACATAATGTTTGAAGAGAATATATAAAAATATCCATTACATTCAATAATTAGGAGAAAAAACTTGAATTTTGTTAATAATGTAATATTATTATAGCATCACAATAAATTTTATACAACTTCAAATGTCCATTATGTTCATCCCACAAATATTCGAAAATAAGATGAAATAGAGTAGACTAAAAACAATAAAATAGCTAATGAATTCTAAAAATTTTAAATAACAAAAATAATAATGAGAGAAACAGTTCCAGTGTAAAAGAACGGAGGAACTTCCTCAATAACTAACAAAAGCATAAATAGATTTACCTCTTTTTTGTTGCATATGTGATGAGCAGTTACATCCATCAACAATTATACATTAGAAAAACTAAGTGTATGCATCAACATACAGTGATTGTGATGAGTAATATAATTACATCCACCAACAATCATCCATCAACAATTATACATCGCAATAACTAAGTGTATGCATTAATATAAAGTGATTTTGAAAACAATTTTTTGGTATGTATAATTATAAGTCAGGAATTATAAAAGTCATTTAAAAATTGATGATATACATAACATCTATGAGAATTAGATAGGTTAAAGTTGGGATAGGTAATGTCTGGTAATTCAAAGGATATTTTTGTTCTTTAATATTAAAGGATATTTCAATTTTTAAAGGATATAATTTACTGCCTTTTGTTGTTACAAAACACTTCATCTACCAAACTCCATTTTAGAATGAAATTAAATTAAATATTCCGTGAATTAATTCTATCTAGAAATATAATGGATTAATACCATATAATTATTATTTAATATTATTAATTAGTTTTTAAATAATATTTAAATTTAGTGGTGTAAAATCGTAATTCAACTTTGAAGTTAAGATCTTCCCACTTACAATAATATATGACGATGATATACACATTTTTATTTTCCTCTTAAATATATTCCTAATTTACGTATGAATAATTCACATATTGTATCTAAACTAAGGAGGACCAATTCTGCCTAACCACTTGAATTTAGGTGTTATTTGCAACTAGTAATTAACTACTCTGACTCAAAAAATGGTCCAGTCCCTAATCGATGAGCTAATAAAAGTAATAATTATGGCAAGAAAATAAATCAATCATTTTAATTACAATGTTTATAGGTCCATCCCCTAATTGGCATGTGCTAAATTACATGGATCAATGGTGTGTGTGGGCAATTTGACTCTTCCCTCAGTATTTTAAAAGTAACAATAAATTATTTCAAGTCTGACTTTATAAAGGATATTGATGAAAAAAATTCAAATTTTAAAATATGAGAAAATATATATTGAGAAATACCAACACATATGAAAGTCTTCTGGTTGATTAATTAGAAGAAAATTAATTATAAAATAAAAATCAAGTGCATAAAGTCGAGTACTTCACGTTTAAAAGTTTCATTTCTAAAAGTTAAAATTAGATTTAACGAAAAATGATAAGATTAAATTTAAATTATTTCACTCATTACTTCACTGTTATCATTTTTTCTATTTCTAACTACCTTGCACCTAACATGTTGTACTCATATCTTTGTTCATATTCAATGTGGAATTAGGGGTGGGGCAAATATTTTGACTTTTGATCTTGAAGGTTTGCTTATAGGACAAGCGGGTATAAAGTTTAAAACTTCTCATTTTCAAGGTCATCGGGTTAATTAGGAGTTGCAAGCCCGTTAACGGGTATGCCAGAGCTCAAAAGCTTTGTCACAAATCATGTATTTGTGTTTGAAAATCAACTTAAAGTGTACAAATAACTTTTTTTAGAACTCAATTAGGTATATTTTCTAAAATGTGATATTATAACCTCAAAATATTAGCAATGTGCAACACCATGATCTCCACCCTCAATAAAAGTTTATGTTTGTTATCAACATACTCTCCTTTAGGAGTCACAATTTTCTTCCCATAATATAATCTCCTTTAAGATTATGAAGCTCCTCTTCTATCTTGGTTTCGATATCACTTCACTTAACATGCTAATCCCGTCATTTGTTTTATGTGTCACCCTTTTTTTATTAGTCAATCCCATAAAGAATAATATATTTATATGTTTAGTAACTATTTAACTTTAAAATGTCTATTTTATCTTTTATGAGATGTTAGTATGTTTTATAGCCACACAAATACCTGCAAATTTAAGAGGAGACATTTCTTATTTCAATAATAGTAATTATTTCCTTGAATAAGTTTTATTAGGTAATTGGAAAAAGTTCACACAGTACAGTACAAGAGAATCACACAATTAAGCATGAGTCAATGACAAAGTTACAACATACTATTCCAAACAAAGGAACTCTAATAAGCTGAAGGCATAGTATCATTGTAAGGATCACCAAATGTTGCAACATTCCCTGGCCTTGAAAATACAATCTACAAGGTAAAAAGCACCACTTGATCAGTTGTTATACTTCTCAAATTTAGTGAAACAGTTTCAACATTCATAGTAAAAAAAAAATGGAATAAGTGTGTGCATGTATTTACTGTTGGACAGAGTTTGAGTTTCACAGCGACCTTTCACACACCCAAAAAAAAGAGAAGCTTTTCGAAGAACATGAAGTGGCATGTTAAAAAGATACACAAGTAAATAAAATTTTGTACCATTCTAATAATTTAAATTTTTAGATAAGGTAGTTAACCTAATTCAACCTCGCAATTATGTTTTTATATAACCTTTTTCCTTTATTACTACCTCGATCTACTCCCCTGTATTTTCTATTTTTTATTGACAACCCCCTGTGTTTCGATTATCACACTATTTTGTTGTTGTTATTGTTTCTTTCTTGTAGACCTTACATTGTTTCTATATTAACTGCTATGCTCTCTACATTGTTTTCTTCTTCTTGTACTCATGTTTGATGCACTTGAGTCGAGGGTCTTTCGGAAACAGTCTCTCTACCTCCATATGGTAGTGGTAAGTTTGCATACACTCTACCCTCCTCAGACCCTGTTTAGTGGAATTTCACTGGATATGTTGTTATTTTGACAACCCCTGTATTTCCACTTGGTCCAAACAAATATATTGACATTATTTTTTTCTTTCTTTGCTACCTACAAGTGTCATTGAGCACCATCCACAGACCGCGCCTCCGGTTCGTTACTGATTATATGTGCAACACCTCAAAAGTTATTAAGCCCAATTCAGACCTTGAAAAGATCAAAAACAACTGAAAGTTGCAGAAAAGGGTTTGTACGAACCCTTTTACGGACCGTGAAAGGCATCACGGGCCATGATGGGATCCGTAGACCAGAGCTTAGCATTGGAAAATTTCAAGGAATGTTTTACGGACTCAATTACGGACCGTGGTAGGTTTGTAAATTGAACCATAGGGCCAAGACTCATGGACCCAAAATTTCATGTCTTTTACGGGTGCCTTAACGAGCTGTAAAGTGATCTACAAACCGTAGAAGGGTCCGTAGAAGTCGACCCTCAAGACCCAAATTTCCTTCCCATTTACGAGCACTTCCACGGTCCGTGAAGTGTTATATGGTCCGGAAGGCAACCGGAGAAGGCCTCCTTCGATTTTGAGTCAGAGTTATTTTAGTCTTTTCCCACTCTTTTAATTCTTATACTATGTCGTTTTGACCTATTCTAAGTTGGATTAGGGGGATTTTAGCCAAGGTTTCTACTCCAAATATGTGGGATTTCATCAATGGTTCTCTTTCACCCAGTGCCGGCTCAATGCTTATACAAATTAGGCATATGCCTTAGGCCCCCAATTTTAGGGGGACTCTAATTTTTACCACAATAAATTATGTGTTAATTTTTTTTATAGAAAAAAATAATTATCTAAGATAATATATTTTTCTTAAAAAATATATATATTATTTTATTCACCTTAACCTCAATAAATAGAAGAAATCAAGAAAAAATTATTTTGTCTTCTTACATTCTCTTCACTAAATCTCGCACTGTAATTTTCTAGACTCCTTTTATACTATAGGTAAGTTAGAGCTCTATAAAAAATATGAATAAATAGTAAAAATCATGTTTTGGATAAAGTGAATTACAAGCCTGTTTAGATTGACTTATTTTATGTGTTTTTAAATAAAAAAAAAAGAAGAAGCTTATAAGTTGTTTTGTCAACTTATTACTTATAGAATAATGTTAACAAGTTATATAATAATTGCTAGCTAAAAGATTTTAGGCCTTTAATTGAAATTTCGCTTTAGGCCTCCAACTACGTTGAGCCGCCCCTGCTTTCACCCATCGAGTCCCAAATAAACTTAATAATTTCAAGTTTATGATTCCTACAAGATAGAATTTTCTATGATCTTCATGTGTTTTCATTGTAAATCAGTTTTGCTCATGATTACACCTAAATTGCATTGTACGTTTTACTTGTGAATTCTATGGTTTCAATGTTATTTCATGAATCCTAAGTATACAAGTATTTCCAAGATCAGAATTATACTATTTTTAAATGCATGTCTCGGATTATCAGATTTTCATGACTTATGGTGCTTTCAAATAAAGTATCTTTTAGTATATTTTCATATGTCATGATATATGATGCTTTTAGATAAAGCTAAGTATCCAAGTATCCTTCAGTATGATTTCAGTTATCATGATTTATGAGCTACTCATTATGTATCAGTTATCAGTATGTTTCAGAAGTATCAGATTAATATTATTTCCATATTTACGCATGTTTCCATTGGGAGTATACTTAGCACCGAGCGGACTTTATGGATGAAGGTTTCTCTTTAGCGTCTGTGGACCTTTAGTAGCAATTCTTTAGTTCCAAAATTACGTGCCACCGTAGGATTTGTCTCAGATAGACATTAGCTTAGTGGATCCACATTAGCTCAGTTATCAAGTCCCTTACGATGGCAAGTATTGGACACTCTCTTTTTGGTGTGGGAGAAGTACACTGAACTCATGAAGTAGCTCACATGGTTTATATCGATTTTAGTAACTCCCACAACCAGACTTTCAATTATTGCATGACCTTGTACTTCTGTATTTCAGTTCAGTATATCTCAGTTTCACGTTATTATACTTGGTCTTTGCATCAACATGTTTTACAGATTCAGTATGTTCATATCATGTTTATTTTGCATATTCCTCATACTCAGTACATTGAATGTACTGAACGCATACTTTCTGACTATATTGTTTGATAATAGAAGTTATGACGCTCATCATCAGGCCCGCAGTTAGTATAGATCCAGCCAGCTTGCAGTAGCTTTGAGTCTTCATTTATCTGAGGATGACCCCGTTATATATCTTTGATTTCGGTATTTTCTTTCAGCTTCAGACAGTTGGAGTTAGCTAGGGGTTTGTCCTAGCAACTCATGTTAGCAGAGACTTTCGGGCATTCTCTTTAGACTTCTGCTTAATTATGTGTACTCAAATATTTTGTCTATTAAGTTGTTAGACTACTTCAGATTAGTTCCGCATACAGTTGTTCTATTGTGCTATTTCATGTACATCTTAGTGTCATGACATGCCATGAGGTTAGCTTGGGGTCACTTGTAGCTCTAAGCACTGTGTCGCGTCTAGGGGTAGTCTCGGGGCGTGACAATATGCCATTAACATTTACTTTTTGTCCATATGTAAGATTAATAGTCAACATTTATGTCCAAGCAAACATTAGAAAATTTGCTTGCATCTTTAGAGGTGGTTTTACCCTATGAAATATTTTGAAAGATTTGTTACCATACCTGATAATCTCCTATCGTGCATGTTTTGAATCCAGCAGCACAGTAATCAAAGTAGTACTCCCATGTTCTGATGAACTTGTCATCGAATCCTAAAGAATGAATTTGGCTAGGGACACAAAGTAATCAATAGTCAAGTATCAGCAGTTAGAACTGATCTAGCTACAAATGATTTATGAAGAGATCGGGTTTACTCAGCATAGAAGCTGTGGACTTATTTTTGTTTTGTTACCTTTTGTTTTTCTGGAAGTTTTTTCGCCAACATCTCAGTGTTTGATAGTAATGAATTCCTATTTCTTCCAGGTGAACTACACTGCATTTATAAAATGCTTTCAGAAGGAAATGCTTTTAAAAGATTGAGAAGCACAAACAATAATTGCTTACCATAGTCTGGATGTAGCAGCCATGGCTGATGTTACTCGACTTAGTGAGGGCAAGCATCCACCTGGGAATATGTACTCTTTTATGAATCCCGTGCTATGCCTATATTCGTCATAAACTCCCATCTGGCATTGAAATGAACTAAAGAAAGCCAACACTTGTGAAAAGCATAAAGAATCAAAGTGGCATGTATTAGGGTGACTATAATCAATTACCTGCAGAACTAGAAGTCCATCTTCTGTTAGTGCAGATTCACAGCAAGTAAAGAATTCCTCCATGTAATCATGACCAACATGTTCTATCATCCCACTGAAAATGATAATTGGTACAATTGTAGCACTGGCTCGACATGTAGTGAGTAATACAATAAGTCAAGATGTAGATCGGATAAAAGCTCACATTGATATAATCCTGTCATACTTGTCCTTACTTGGGATTTGGCGATAGTCACATAGGATAAATGTTATTTGGTCCTGTGGAAAAGTTTCATTGAATTGGATATTAATAGATAACTATAGCTTTACAGTTGCAAGTGCTAAGCAGATCATCTTCTTATGTTAATCTTTGAAAGAAAAATGTGGAATGCATCAAACAAAGAAGCACTTTAGTTAATCTTGTGTCATAATTTCCCCGGACGGACTTGCGATCTAGCTCGTTCAGGAGCAGAAACTAAAAGAAGGTTTAGTCCATTAAGTGGAATTTCCTAGTTGCTTATCATTTGATTCAGCTTATAGCAATTATATGTTAGTGTAAGCTTCATCTTAGTCATTGTAAGTACTATACCTGAAGTCCTGCTTGCTTAACTCTCAACTGTGCATACTCCAGCTGCTGCTCGGAGAGAGTTATACCAGTATATTTACATCCTGTTTGCTTGACAACTTCCATCGCAAAACTTCCCCAACCAAATCCGATCTCTAAAATGTGATGTTCCTTCCTAACTTTTGCCTAAATAGAGTAGCAGAATCAGATTATGCCTGAAATTTACAAAGAAATGGGAGAGATTTTCACTTAGTTGATGACTTACCTTTCTAATGAGAACATAAATCTTTCTCAGTTGTGCATCTTTTAGGTCTTCATCCTCACTCTATAAAAAATATGAAATAAAAATAGATCACCATAAAATGAGATAAAGAACAGGAAATGTAGCTTAGCATACGAAGAAAAAAGTGGCAAGCATTTAAAGGTTTGAGAGATAAACCTTGAAAATTGCACATGAGTATGTCATTGTCTCATCCAGAAAGAGTGAGAAGAGTTCATTACTCTGGCAAAAATATGGCCAAGATTGAGAACTTTCAATAGTGACGGTTGACCTCCCCTACGTACTTTGGGTGATATAGTATGCAAGTTAATTACTTACCACGTCATAATGGCGAGAGATATTTCGACGAGCCTGAGTCAGCGTGTTTTGATTTGAAACATGTCGATAGAAGTACTTTGCAGATGATAGCGCTGCTGTAAAAAGCACTGGTGTCCACCAGCCTCTAAAGCCATAAAAAGTGATGAAGAACTTTCATAACAACAGAAGTTTATGTTTCTTGATTTCAGGTCAGTAAGCTATTGTACCTATTCTTGCTAGTCGGTTTAACAGATTCTTTCAATTCTCCGTTTGCAATAAATATCTGCAACAAAAATCAGGAAACTAAGTACCAACCAAAAGCTATTCACAAAGATATCGACTCAGTTCCTCACCATGATAAGATTAAGAAGACCTTCATTCTTATCAACAAAAGAAAAATCCCCATGAATAAAAGCATCAGCAAGACCTAGGTCAGCTTGAGTTGCAACCTGTAAGACATGTCACAGAATTTGTCTTCTTTTTCAGGTTTAACTTTTGATAAGTTGAAGGTGCAAAAGAACATTTCAAGTTACCTTCCAGTAAAACTGCATACTACGAACTGTAAGAGAAACTTTGAGAGAGCATTTCCTATCTCTTCCTTGGAAGGTGAAAATTGTACCTCCTTCTTCCAACACGCTGTATATCGCAACATGTAAAATTATTATCCAGATATCTTTAATTATCAGTAATAAATAAGTCGCGATTCACATGTGTGTTTTGTTTTGCAGCATGAATTCAACTTGGATATGAGCTCTAAGCCAAAGAGATTGGAATAAAAGAAGTGTAGTTTATCAATACATTAGTCGTTCTGCATATTGCTGCCATTCAAATAGCAAGATCACAAACGTTATAAAATAAGAAATAGATTCAATGGAAATAAGCAAATTGTCAGGCATGTATCCGCCACTGTTTCGGGACTTAAGTAATACAAGATGAAACTATCACAACTCACATTATGCATCCTGTTTGAATGTAACTTTTGAAAAATCTAGTAACGAGGAGGCGTGCTCCAGTTTCAGGCCAGGTTGGTACCAAATACTTGGGGTTGTACAGAATACTACAATTTCTTCTAAGCATCCCATCTGCAGCAATCACACCCGCCTGAGGAGGAGCAATGATGTCAGAGTCATCCACAAAAGACTCCAAATTGTTTTCAGAGTAAGTTAAAAATTTTATTAGCAGAAGCGGTACTACCTTTAGTCCATTCTCATGGAAGCCATAGCCTGAAAGTATTGCAATAAATACACATGAATAAGCAGTGAAACACAAAGTGAAAAATAAACTGTTTGTGCTAGAAGTGTTACGGATAGCTTCCCTTGAACCTTATGCGAAGAAAAGGTAGTGAATAAAACAAACCACTAGGTTGTTGTGCTGAGTCACTGGCATCAAATTGAAATAGAAAGAAAATGTAAAAGGTGAATGAAGATTTCTTTTGCAAAGACAGTTTGACAAGATAGTTTATTTCATATAATTAGAAATTGGCATCACTTTATCCGTAAGGAGTCATAATACTCTCTTAAAATAGATTTTATAAGCTGCAATTTCCGAGGACTACAACAGTGAGTCTGCAAATAATTTAAATGACAATAGTGAGTGGTACAGTCCTTCAAGTTTCAGTTAACGGAACTGGTTCTCTAAATTGAACATAGTTGACATAACAGCAGACTAATGCACGATAGCAGGTTACAAAGGAACATCTATCTTCGACTACAAGAAACTCCCAATATTCTGCATAAGAAAGAGATTCATACCTTGATATGCTCCACAAAACCATATTCCTCTCTTCCCTTGGATTTGATGTAGCTTACATGAAGCTTTTGATGCAGCAACTGAGGGGACTGGATGGATTGTTCTCCACTTAACCAGTGTATGCTCTGGTGTGTGAGGAGGATCGAAGGTTACGAGATAAGGCAGCTCTGAGTCACCAAGATTCTGTAAGTTTAGACAGCTCATAAGTTAAGAGAAAAGACTCCCCACTGAAGAACATTATCTTCTATTTTCTATAGAAGGTCCTAAACCACTGTATTCCAAAACACACCTGGATTACATTGAGCCAATATGTTGCACATCCTCTATCATTCATGGTTCCAAGAAAGTTACAAGCACTCCATGCTGCCGGGTCATGAGGCAGGAATGTTTTGTCTTGATGAAGGAAAGTATCACTGTCGCAGAGGAAGAGACAACAATTTTGCATTTTGACATCATAAATCTTATTAAGTAGATGTACCATTTCAACATGATACTCTACCCTTTAAGTAGAGCTCGTGGTCGTGGCTAGAATTTCAGAGTCAGAATTACTAACTATTTTAATCTTGGCTTCCGGTACCATTTTCATATTAGCTCAGAAATCTAGCAGGTTGTAGCTGTTTATATGATTAAACCAGCCACCATTAAAACATGGCATAATACATAAATGTATCATTTAACTTGACTTCAGTTGACATCTATGCCCTCCAACTTTCGGCGTGTACACGTACACATTTAAACATGTATAAAATTGAACAAGTAGACACATGCGTCCTACATAGAGTCCTATGTGGCAATTTGCATCCTACATGGCATACTACGTGTAATATGTCACATAAGATGTGTGTGTCTACTTGTTTAATTTTATACAAATTTAAGTGTCTACTTGTGCACACCCGAAATTGGGAGCATAGATGTCAGCTGAAGCCAAGTTAAAAGACACATTTATGTATCATGCCTTAAAACATTCATTTTAACTGAACTTCTCTAAAGCACAAAATAGAACTCCTCTGATGATAGAAAATATGTATAGGAACATGGCTATATTTTGTTACCTTTTCTTATAGGAAGAAAAAACAATTAGTACCTATAGACAGTGGAAAGCACCCAGTATTCTTGTTTCATCATATGTTGCCTTTTTGCCTAACATTTTCAGAGTATCTGGTGAATGTACAGCGATTATGCATCCGTCATATACTTCAGTGGAACCATCATTGCAATAAATGGTACAACCTGCAAGGGCTCTTTATTTTACACTTAGAATCTGGACTAGTTTTTAACTATGTGATAGTGAAAATAAAGCTGACCGAAGATTTTTCTTAGGTAAACACCAAAAGAGAAACAACACAGAGAACTCTTGCAAGAAGAGAAGACATAAATAAAAGCCAAGCTAGACCTTGTTCATTTGTCGATACAGAATTTACTTCACAACCAGTTCTTATTTGGCAGCCTCTTTTCTCAAGCTCCTCCTTAACCTGCATTCGTTAATGCCCCATCGAAGGATGAACCATGCTTAACAAATCTTACAAGAAAGTGAAAATAGGTAACTATGAAAAAAAAAATCACCTTGTTTACATATGCATGTGATTGCCTTCTTATAGTGAGCAACTGAGGGAGACCAAAGAGCTGTATAGACACAAGATAAACTGATGTAGGTAATTCAAATTTAGTATCTTGCATGCAACACATTCAATAATAGGCTATAATCTACATATATACAAAGTATTCGAACTTAACAGTAGGTAAGAGAATAAAAACCTGCATAAGATGGTGGTCGCGACAAAATGAAAGAATGGAATAAGCAGAATATCCCATTACTCCTTCCGAGGGGCAGAACCAAATTGAAGCACAAATTGGAACCTGTGAAACATATATGTGAATTGCTTATTGCAAGAGTAATCTTTTGAATCAACTAAAAGGCCAAATACAAGTATCAAAATCAATAACAAAGACAAACAGCAGTGTCACCAGATAAGCCTTCTGAAATAACTCCGAATAGACATGTGACTCGATAAATTGCCCTAATGTTTCGTTGCGATCTATGTCAGGATTGTTTTCCAGTTCTTCAAGGTAACTGCAATGCAGTGAGAAACGTATTCATGAGATAGCTCTTACGCTTGACATAAATAAATGAAGTGCACAAAACCGAACAATTTCGTCCATTTCCATCAAATGCATGATTGTCAAATGAACAAAGAAGACTCTGTGCTCTAACTTTCTAATTATGAGATCAATAAATCAACAAATTGGTCAAAAAAAATAACAAATACTAATAAGAAGTCAGATATGTGAAGGTAAAACAGTTATTGGTACCTTATGACATCCTGCTTGAATCTGATAATTTCTCTAATCATTTGCCAAAAATATGGATTCAAGACATTCTTTTTCTGTGCAAACAAACTAGAGAATCCATTTCGAGTACCCCATTCACAACCACGGCCTTGGTCTAATCTCACTGAGAATGACATATAAGAGATCTCCATATCAACTCCTAGGAACTCAAAAAATTCCATCAGGTTGGGATAAGTTACCTGTCAAATACAGCATTTCAGCATCCACATATGCTCACCCCAAAAGATGGGGTTAAAATAACTCTAGCTACAATCATTTCCAATTGAATACCCAAAAGAAGGATACAAATAACTTTTTTAGCTTTACATATGAAATTTGATTGAACAAACCAATGATTTTACCATAGAAACTCAAAAAGATGGGATTTGCCTTGAGCAATTTTGCATAAAGTGAAAATGACAATAAATAAAAATTGAGTGTAACGTTGATCATAGACCTTTTTTGCTTTCTTCTTTGACACATCAATATGCATCACAACTGTACGCCTAACTTCCAAGGTATTGTCTGGTAGAAACTTTGGGCTTCGAAACAATTTTATTATATTGGTCTTTGTAAAGATATGGCACCTGGGTCTAACTCAACCCCAAAAGCTAGCTCATGAGGGGAGGTTTGTCCAAGTCAATATAAGGATACCAAATTTCCATCCCTCTACCAATGTGGGACATCTTAACACTCTCCCGCACGCCCAGACCTCAACTGGAGCGTGAACACTTCTAAATGGGGGCCCATCATCGGTGAACAACAAATTGGGATGGGCTGATACCATGTAAAGATATGGCACCTGGGCCTAACTCAACCCCAAAAGCTAGTTCATGAGGGGAGGTTTGTCCAAGTCCATATAACGAGACCAAATTCTCATCCCTCTATTAGTGATATCTCTTGATTGATATTAGGATATCTCTTGATTGATATTCCATATCTTAGTATCTCATTAGTGATTTAGTTTCTATTATAATTAGGTGAAGATCACAATCCTTTAGTAGTTGATTCTTTCCTTATTTGTAGTTTGCTCTCTTGTATAAATACACATACATATTAATAAAATTATATACTTCTTCTCTCTAGCAGTAAAGTTTATATGGTATCAAGAGCCTAAAAGCTTAACAGCGTTTTTTTTTTCTTTTTTTTTTTTCCTTGAGAATTTGTGTCTTTTCCGCTGCCACTAACAATGGTTTCAACCAATACCTCCATTGAGAACACCCCAGCTACATCTTCTCCTGTATCTGTACCAAATTCTCCCACAATTCTCACCATGAATAGCAATGAGCAGTTGATCAATATCAATGTTGTTGCTCAAGCACCTCTAAAGCTTGACAATACAAACTACCAATCCTGGAGATACCAGTGCGAAACCATCCTCACTGCATATGATTTTCTCCATTTTATTGAACAACCACCAAGTTCAACAGCCACTCCTTTTCATCAGCGACAAGACCATCTCATTCGGAGTGCCATTGTTGCCTCTTTATCTTCTGATATTGTTCCATTTGTCATTGATGCCAAATCTTCCTATGCTCTCTGGCAAAATCTGATGGCAACCTATGCGAAGCCATCGCGTGCTCGTATCATGAGTCTTAGAGAGTCTCTAAGCAACTTGAAAAAGGGTAATCTCTCTATTACTTCATATCTGCAGAAAATCAAACAAATCTGCAGCACTTTAGCTTGTGCTGGCATTCAGATTTCAATGGATGAGCTCTTCCTTCATGCTCTTCATGGACTTCCAGCCAAATATGACACTATCACTGCAGCTCTACGTGCTCGAGAAACTCCAGTGACATTTGAAGAACTTCATGAGAAGCTTCTTGATTCGCTCATCTTCCTCTACCACAGTTCCAATCATAGCAATTTTTGTTGCTAAACCATTGCTTCACAACAACCGCTCTCGGCCCAATCATGCTTCACGTCCTGGAAACAACTTGAATCCTACGGATAGACCTGCTTCCAACAATTTTGGTGCTCAACTTGCTGGTCAAAACACCAACAGGAACCGTCCTCGTGTTACTTGCCAACTTTGTGACAAGCCTGGTCATCACGTGAAGCAATGCCAAAAATTATTAGCGATTCTCTCTCTCATCAATGGATCTGGATCCGATGGACATACAAGAAATAATGCTCCGTCTCAATCACAACAGCTACGTGCTAACTATGCAGACAACAACACTAGAAATGATGGAAATTGGCTTGTTGATTCTGGTGCCTCGCATCACGTCACACAAGATCTCCACAATCTGTCCCTTCACTCAGATTATGATGGCATTGAAGACATTATGCTCGGTGATGGTAAAGAACACAAAATCACCCATACAGGATCTGCTTCTTTACCTTCATCTTCTCAGCCTTTAACTTTATCCAATGTTTTATGTGTGCCTAAGATGAAAAAGAACCTTATTTCTGTTCATCAACTTTGTAATGATAATTCTATTTCTGTCACGTTCTCACCTTATTCGTTTGTTGTGAAGGACTTTTGCACGGGGGCGCCTCTACTAGCAGGGAAACCTGAAAACGGTGTTTATCCATGGCCTTCATCCCTTCGATCGCCAACCTCTCCTCAAGCCCTCACCACCACCACAACTGCAAGTTCTTCCAATTGGCATCGACGTCTCGGTCACCCGTCCTCTCCCACTCTTCGTCAAGTTTTCAAGCTTTTAGCTATTTCATCTTCTTTAGAAAAATCCTTCTTTTGCCGTTCGTGTAAATCCAGTAAAATGCATAAGTTTCCTTTCTACAACTCTACAATAAAGAGCAATGCTCCTTTGGAATACATTTTTTCGGATGTTTGGGGTCCTTCACCAGAAATTTCAATAGATGGTTTTCAATATTATTTAATATTTGTTGATCATTACACGAAATACATCTGGTTCTTTCCCATAAAACGAAAATCTGATGTATCCATTATATTTCCCAAATTTAAGAAAGTTGTAGAAAAGCATTCAATAATTTAGGTAGATTTCATGGAGTTTGAACCCTTATAACTACAAACTGTATGCAGCACTTACTTTAACTGCAAAAATCTCAGTTCATGAATAATGGATGTCATGCTCTTAGACAAACATCTTAGTATATATAATACAATGCACTTAATAAATGAGCACACATAATAAGTCACAAAATGCTGATAATTAAACTACTTTGATCATTGTATAAGTTTACTCAAACACCCTAGGTATAATACATAACAGCCTGCTGATAATTAAACTACTTTGATCATTGTATAAGTTTACTCAAACACCCTAGGTATAATACATAACAGCCTATTTAGAAAGCCACCTGGTAATTGGAATTGGTGTAATTACTAGGATAGTAATTACTACTTGCCAGCCTAGTAATGACACTGACTTATTTGTTTGCCACAGTGTAATTACACTGTAATTGCACATGTATTGTTTGGTTGAACAAGTGTAATCATAAGGTTATATTGAATTTTAAAAATTAAAATTAATTATTAAAAATTAAAATTTTATATTAGATAAATAAAGGCATTTATAAATGATATTAAATTGAATGTTTAAGATATATATTGTATTTTGAAAATATATTAACTAATAATAAACATATATTTTTATCTAATATTATAAAAAAATAATTGATTTATATTTTTCAATTTAGTATATTTTAATTATATTAATCATAAAACTATAAGTACAAAATTTCTATAAACATCATGAAATGTATGTTTGACAAAAAGATTATATTATAAATATAATGTCATAAAATTATAAAACATTTGACAAAAACAAAATGTATCAAGTCTAACTTAAAAAAAAATAGCTTGCAATGTAAAATATCTAGTCAAAACTCCTAAAACAAATAAAATTGAAAATATAACATAAGTTCTAAGTTTAAACAAAAAATTTAACATAGTACTCTTATGTCAAATTTCAACATAACATACATAAATATGATTTAAAAGAAAAGAAAAACGTAATTAACAATAAATTCTACTTTAATTTAAAAATTAGAATATTAACAAAACTATAGTAATGATTTTTTTCTAGATAATACGAAAAATTGTATAGAATCAGATGAAGTAAAGGTTGAGAATAAGAAGGAAATAATATAAAACATATTTTTAGAAAATATTAGAATAATAAAAAATAAAAATAGAAATAAAAGGAAGAATTAAAAAAAAATCAGTTTGTAATTACAACATGTAATTATCAGCAATTCACAGTCTATCCCTATGAATTGGAGAGTCTAATTACACCATGTCAATTACACCAATTATCTGCTGACCAGGTAATCACATGGCCAACCAAACAGGACAAACAGTGTAATTACACCAATTATACCAAATACAATTACTAGGGTGGCTTTCCAAGCAAGCCCTAAATGTGCCATTTAACTTGGTCTCAACTGACATATATGCCCTCTAACTTAAGGTGTGCACAAGTAGGCACTTAAACGTGTATAAAAATGGATAAATAGACTCATTTGTCCTACATGGCATCCTACATGACAATTTTGTGTCCTATGTGTAGTCCTACATGTACTATGCCACGTAGGACGTGTGTCTACTTGTTCAATTTTATACAAGTTTAAGTAGTTACTCGTACACACTCAAAGTTGGAGGATATATATGTCAACTAAAGCCAAATTAAAGGGCATATTTATGTATTATGCCAACACCCTTTGGATGCACTTACCTGATCAAAGATCATAAAATCAAGGGATAGATCGATGTCGTCAACGATGACAGTCTTATTAGCATGGCAGCTGATATAATTTTCCTTCTCATAAACGACAACTTTGACACCAGCTTTTGCCAATTCATATGCAGAAACCAGTCCACTTATCCCGGCCCCTACCACTGCTAATTTCATGTTTAAAACTGCAATAACAAAATAGATTAGAAAAGGTAAATGGACATATATATATGTCAAAAGTATTATGTGGTCATGAGTTATACATTCACCAAACCTTTTAAAATACTGCTGGAGTTTTAAAAGTTGAATGCATTATTGGTGTTAATGCTTAAAGTAATAATGGTGACAAACATAGCTCGCACAGAAATTAAGGAAATGAATTGAAGAGAGTGTATAATTGCAGCCTTGAGGGTCCATCCTTTATTTGGCTGAATACATTGACAATCTCTTAAATTTATCAATAAATTTCATTTAGACACTTGAACTGGAACATATTCCAATTGAGTGTTGGATATTTTTGGTATGCACAATTGGTTGCTTACCACTTGAATCTTATTATGTATTATGCCTTCTTTTTGACAACTGAGTAATTCGTCTGTGATCCACCCTTTGGACCAATCACATCCTTCTAAACTCGGTGGATAATCCCCCCCCCCCCCTCTATACCCTTCTCCACTTAAATATCAGGCTTCGCTCTGCAGGTGCGGGGCTTGAACCTGCAACCTAAGCCACAAATCCTCCACCTTTTGCCACACGAGCTAGGCCTTGGGGGTTGTATATGCCTTTATATAACTACCCTTTCTAGAATATTTCTAGATCTTTCTCTCAAGAACAGCCATTCTAGAGATCTTCATTTCTTTACATCTCTTGAATATTTACATTGAGTACATGAACATAAATGTTTCTCCTGACACTTCCAACTCAAATATTGGAAAAGTTTTAGACGTGTTCTCAAGCATTCATTACATAGCTAAGTTAATCAACCAAAATATATCAGTTATTTTAATTATACACATATTTTCGTTACCCATTCTAATATATATTCCTAATTTCCATATGAATAATTCACCTATTTTATCTAAGTATTAGTAAGGAGAATCACTTGAATGTAGGCGTTATTTACAACTAGTAATAATTAACAATTATGACCACAAAAAAGGGAGGTCCACCCCCTAATTGAGTTAACAAGTATGACAAAAAAAAATTCAATCATACTAATAACAATATTTGTAGGTCCATCCCCTAATTGGCATGTGCTAAATTACTTGTGAGAACTCCCAAAAAAGATCAATAGTGCATGGAGAAAAATCTTGGGGCTTTTTTTTCTATTTTATTTTTGGAGTTCATGGTACATAGTTTAATAGATATAGAGATAAACAAATATTCTTTTATTACTCATCTCAAACCTTTGATTTATATGTCTTGCATGTAATACGAAAAAATGTGTACTAGGCCCTTGTCTAATTTTTACTCTTCTGTCTGTAATTTAAGTAACTAGTGTCAAGGAACGTGTGTTGCACGTTTGTCCCTTATCATTTTTATAAAATTTTGTTTTATTTAAAAAAAAGTTCAACTATAATATAGAAAATGTTGAAATCAACAAATTAATTTTACCTTTTATATTTTATTCATTAAATAATAAAACACACAAAAATGAGACATTGCATTTTCCATCAAACAATAAATATATGAAGCTAGTTAAGATAATATAGTATCTAATGGTATGAATATGACGATGGATTTCCTACTTGAAAAATTAATAAATACATGTAAAAGCCTTTGATGAAATTAACAAAGACGACATGATGAAGAAATAAATATATTTTTGTAAAACCTGCAAATAAAGCACAATAAATATATATTTATCTCAGCCCCAAACATTCAAAGGTAGGATAACTTATTTAAATTTTGAATATTTACGTATACCAAATTTGATTTTATTCTAGTAATTGATGAAATAACAAATATAAAAATATTTTTCAAAATTTGAGCTTAATAAATTACATTGCTCTTTTAATAATACTATTATTTTAAATGAAAAAAAGAAGAAAAGATTTTGATGAACATTAATCTCGCTGGTCAATAATTTCCATACCACGTTGGCCATACATATATCATTTTTTTTGGTTTTCCACCCGGTATCCGGAGCCCATATTGGAGCTTCGACTAAATCCGGATCATGCTCTACAGGGCCCATTCAGGGGTGGCACTCCCAATACGATTTTCTTCATACCTAGGGCTTGAACCCGAAACCTCTAGTTAAGGGTTAAACACTCTCACCAGTACACCACAACTCATGTTGGTACATATATCATTTTTGACCAGTACCTAAAATGCAATTGGGTCAAACATATATATAAATATATATGGAACAAAAATGGCTGGAAGATAGGGAAAAGATCACTTATTATATACTTTATACAGTATTGTAACGTAAAGAATAGGAAAGGCTGTGGGAGAAAATTATTAATGCAGAAAAATATTAACATTAATCAACAATAAATAAGGAAACTATAATTAGAAACGTTTTGGATTGTAATTAAGGAGATTATGAATGTCCGCCCATGTTCAACCTTAATATTTTGAATTTAGAGTGAAGCATTAAAGTGTTGTTGGAATGAGTTTAGCGGACAGAAGTTAAGAGGACCAACAATTATAGCTCATTAAGAAATATAAAATGGTAAGTTCTATCATCTAATTATGCATTTGGTCTGATTAAGATGTCATTATTTATTTAATTATAAACTATAAAAGTTAGTGAAGGGTATTTTTGTAATCCAACTTTAGATTTATAACCTTCCCACTTTTAGTATAACTAGGTTTACCGCACGTGCGTTGCACGTGGTTGCCTTGTCTTGAGGTTGATGCATCCATTAAAATGTATTCCTACTCTATTTGTCACAATCAGCTTTGGGCTTCACTATAGCCTGTCTGCCGCTATGGCAGTGTTTTAGTCGCAAGTGCGAACTTCTTTGTGGAAACCGTTTCTTTGCAAGTGCAAGGATATATTATTATTTGACTTTTGCAGGGATGGCTCTATTTTTGGAGATGTGGGATCGTATAAAGTAGTAGACACATATTGTCCTGTTGTGTTTGACAACCCATGTGGCGTTGCTGGGAGTGTTTCAGGACCATTTGAAGATCTGTTATTGAATTTCGCAAACACGAGTTGGAAGGTCTAATATTCTAAGGCAGTAACAGGGCCTAGAGAATGTATCAGGGCATAAATATTTGTTTATTGGTGAATTTGGATGTTTGTTGTGATACTGGCAGTTTGTTTGTTGTTGAATCTGCACTGGTTCGTTTTAAAGAGAGGTTAGCGAGTAGGTATGTTTGTTGGTAGATGGTCGCTGGTGACTGTCCATGATGTGATTGTTGGAAGTCATGTCTGTTTGTGAAATATTTTGTTATGGGTAAAGGTTTATGGTAACGTGAGGTGGATGTGCATTAGATGTGTATGCCAAGTCTTGACATCCCTTTACATGGAGAAGTTTATCGATAATGTGTATTTCAGTTGTACATAATATAACTTTGTATTTTATTATTCAGTACGCCATACTTAGTTACAACTGACAAGTCACACAACTTTGTGTTGTGTTGTAACACATGTATGGGTGAGGATTGTATTATAAATTTGTTGTTAGGACATTTGTTTGCAAATAATTCTGCTGGACTTAACAGTTTGGGTTGTTAGTTATGTTATGTCATGAAAAACACGTCCCCTAGAAATAGTGTATAATAATTTAACTGTATATTTATGTTGGCACCCAATTTTGGACCTCCACAATATAGATTAATCACCTAGCTTCTTAAATTCCAAACAATTTGAAATAATTAGTTTTTATAAAGTTCAAAATATTTTTCAAGTTATTTTAAAACGCTAGCTTTATAATTTTAAATGATAAATACGTTTCCCTATATTATTTTACGTATAATTAGTTTATTTTATAAATATTCGAAAACCATCTCAAAAACAAAGATTTTGTTTTGTTTAAATATTTTACTAATTAGTTATGTAATAGTTTGCATTTTAGAATTAATTAGTTTATAATTAAGTCGATTATTTTATTTTGTTAAGATTAAGAAGCTCGTTAATTAATCTGTATTAATTCATCTTATTTAGTTAAATTGTTAATTCTAAATGGCTACAATTAAAATTCATATGATCATTTTCCTAAAATCCTAGCCATTTCCTCACCTTGCCTTCTTGGATCATTCTAAGACTTTTAGGCTTTCCAGCAGCCCACGCCTAATCCAAACCCCCTTTATTTCTTCAACCCAATCCCCTTTCTCATTTTTCCAGCCATCCCAGTGCCCCAGCCCACTTTAATACACCTAACCCGGCCCACCAATACACAAAAATAACCCAACATTACAATACCCGCCAATGTACATCAACAATACGTACAACATACAATCCTAACGACCCCTGCGTCTTTTTTTTCTTCTTTCTCCACGCGAAGCCACCCAGTACTGTTCCAACAGTCCGTTTCCAGCCACCAGGCACGCGTTTTCGTCCTTGCCAATGTGAGATCGCTCCACGTAGCATCTCAAGGACATTAGAGTCGATCTGAGGCGTCGATTGGCCCTTTCCACTTTCGAAATAGGGCGAACATTTCAGAAAAAGTATGCCTCCCTTCAATGGTGAAAGAAATTGATGGCATTTGAATTTTGAATGGACCCTTTCCTATTCGTTTTTCACTATTCCCCCCCCCCCAAATCGAAAACCCTAATTTCCCCTTCTATATATACATATTTTCTTCTTCATTGTTGTGGTTGGAAATTTGAGAGTCGAAAAAGAGGGTTGGGAACTTTATTTTTAGCAAAAAAGAAAAAGTATACAAGGAAAGGCATGAGTATTAGTGTTTAAAACACAAGCTAAATACATTTTGAAAGAGATGATATAATAGTTTATTTTTTTGGTGTTTTTGGGTCCAATTTTCTACTCGAATTTATTGTCAACTATTCGTGTTCGAGTTCTTGTGGTAGGAAGATCGGCTCCTTGCTCGTCCCATCCTCGTTCGCTGCCCGTAACAAGGTAAATAACTCTTGGGCTTTTTTTCTTCTTTCTTCATGCTGATTTTAATGGGTGTCGAATCGTGAAACATCTCTGTGTTGATTTCGAGATAATGTTACGGGATTTGTTTTTGAGCTTAACTTGCCTTATTCGTCTTAAATTTTTCTGAAATGGGCGAAATGTTTGTTTCATTTTTGAGATGATTTATTGTCTGTCCAAGCATGTTTTCTTGTTTACAATT